AGTGTCTCATGGGCCTGGCGAGGGAGGGCCCGTGATTCATCATATTAATAGATGCGATGGCTCCAGCAGCTGGATGGGTGACAGATGCTCGCTGTTGGACGTATGCACACAGCACCCTCGTCTGCCTAGCCCTCTCACCCACCTCCCAAAGCAAACTTCATTTCTCAAAATATCTCTGAGCTATTCTCCACAGGGCAGGGGATGAGTTTATAGACAATTGTAAGCCACTATTCAGCTCCAGGGAGTTCTGGAGTTGGAGGGCTTTGGTTTTCTACTCCAAGATGCTGCAGAGGGAGAAAAGGGACTCTTCGTAACCTTTTTTCAATTATGTAAATTTTTTCCTATGTATTAACTGTATGCAAGGCCTATTATTACATAAAATGATATCACTGTGTCCTGTGTGGCCACACACAAAGATTATGTTAGAACCAAGGACCTGTGTCCTGGCCTCTAACTTTGCGGTTGGACAAGAGCAGCCTCAGTCACTAACAAGCACTCTGCGTGTGCATGGGGAGGAGGTGAACTGGACTGTACCTAGACAGAAATGCCTAAAACTCAGCAGGGGTCTGAGCCCAGGGATTCCCTAACAGCTGTTTCAAAAGGCCAAGCCCAGTGACTTACCCCACCCATGGCTGCCACAGGCTTCTTCAGGGTTAGGTTCAGAGGTGTGTGGTAGACACTAGTGAAAGTGTTGTTCTTAGGGTTATGGCTGCAAATGTAATGCAAATCAAAATTAGAAAAGTGCTTGATCCAAGGGGGAAAGTGACATCTTAGAACACTGGCCTCTTTTACGACAGATGAGCACAAAACTCAAGAATTCAGCTCTTGACTTCCCACTAAACCTTGCCCCTCAGAAACTCACACCAAGTAAATTCAACACACGTGGCATGGGGATGAGTTTCCACCCAGGACGGTCATGGATCTGGACATCATTTAAGAGGAACTTTTTAAGCTCCATCTAGGCATATCTTCAGCAGTTACACTGCTCTGCAGGTTTTATAATTTGACACTCCGTTACAGCGGGTGGAGCTGGTCTTTCACCTAAAGTCCCACATTAGGGCTCTTCCGAGACTAGGTATGAGTGACACCTTGGGGGGCAGGGTGCTTTGAGTCCAGCCTGGAGCTTAGAACCTGATACCCCAGTTGAAAACCAGAAGTCAAGCCGTGGCGGCCGGGTATCAGACACTTACGCGTGACAGTATGGCTTTTTCTGGTGACTCACGAAGTTATTAACGGAAAGCATCATCTTGCAGACTTCACAGTGGAAACACGCCTTGTGCCATGTCTGAGAGACACAGAAAAGACTCGGCGGTTAGTGCTGTTCCCCCCCAGGCTCAGGGGCTGGGAATCATTAGGGTAAAAAGTTGAGAACTGCAGATAAAATAAAACTAAAATGCACGAGCTATACACACACGAGTAGAATATGTTGGAATGAAACAGCTTTCTTCTTGAAGCAGCACAGAAGATATAGGAAAGCATGAGCAGAAGCTAAGAAAGGCAGACTGCGTCCTTCCCTCATCATCCAATAAAACTCCCTATGGGAGAAGACACATGTTCCAGCTACGTGTTCTTCCCAAAGACCACAGACCATCTCTACTGACCTGATCTATACAGCTGATCTTCTCAGCGGGGTAAACGCCATACCCGCACCTAGAGCAGGCCTGCACGCTCATCTTGGAGTGTGGGAGACAGGGAGAAGGAACAGGCAAGATCAAGGGTCCCCCGAGCCTTCAAAATCCCACCACTATGAAACGCCGCCAGACGGCTGGAGCCCTCAGAATCCAACTTCTACTTCCCTACGCTGACCTTCTGCTCTGGAGTCCCCAGCTGGTTGGTTTTAAAGCTGCCACTTACTCAAGGGACAATTTTGGCAACTCAGTCAGCACGCATGCGTCTGAGACAAGGTGGAGGTATTTCGAGCTGACATGCTTCTCAAAATAGAAAAGTTAACTCATGGCAGCATCGTGTTTACGTGAATTACCAAATCTTGGTGTGTGTGTGTGTGTGTGTGTGTGTGTGTGTGTGTGTGTGTGTGTGTGTGTGTGTGTGTGTGTGTGTGTGTGTGTGTGTGTGTGTGTGTGTGTGTGGTCAGACGCTTGGGCCTGATGAGCACTAGCTAAGATCATACCCCAGAAAAGGAACGTAAAGAATAGTCATATCCACTCTGGGAACGAAATTAGAAGAGCTGGCTGTATCGCCTCTGACTAACACAGACAAGACAGCTCCCCAAAACACGGGGGAAAAGGAGGGTTGATTCACCCTCTTGGAATCGTGAGTGCCAGATTGGAATTGTATCCATTTTGCAGTAACAAAATTAAGAACTTAGTAAGATACTCTCTGTGGGAACACCAGACCTTGAGCAGAGACCCACTTCCCCTTCTGCCTGGGAGTAGGCAGCTGTAAGACAATGTTTACTAAAAACAATACAATGCCTGGGGGCATTAAGTTCCTGGAAAAGGCCTGCCCGCAGAAACCACCCTGAGCTCGACCTTGTCCAGAGACTAACCGCCTCTTCTGCCACGCCCAGATCAGTTTCTGGTGTCAGAGCAGAACCAGCCAGGGTAGAGGAGAGAGCAGAAGCTTCTCTGGTGGGAGCCTTTCTTAGGAAGTTTTCTTGAACCTTTTTGGGGCCTGCTTAAAGTTTTCTTTACATCGTTGAACGAGTCTCTGTGTTGTCAATCCCCGACACCCTCCGCACGTTCTCGGACACAGGCCGCGCAGCAGACGCGACAACTCTCTGTGTTTAACTTCTACTGGAATTCAAAAATATGTAAGGACAAGTAAGAATGTTTGGTGTTTGTCCCAGAAAGTCCCAAGTGGTCTTTTGGCTCATTCCCTTCCCTCAAAGGTCCTACCAGGAGTGGCTTGGTGACAAAAATCCCTCCCCCTGACTTTGGGAAGTGTATCCTGCTTACAAGCAGCCTTATGACGTTCAGGGACACCCCCCGAAAAATGACAACTCCCTTGTCCCCACCAGGGCCCAACTGCTTTGAATGTCCTCTACCTGGTGTTTAGTCTAACAGCAGTTATTGCAGCCTGGAAATGCTAAATGCAAATGAATCCATTGTTCAGAATTGTATCACCCTCCACCCAAATACAAGACTACACAGTCCATGTTGCAACTTCCGTGTGTTCCAGGGTCTAGAATAAGGCCTGTCCCTTGGTGCTCAGTTAGAGCTGGTGAACCAATGGAACACACTTAATGCTTACACCAAAATACCTGCAGAGGCCAGATATGAAGCCCTACGCAACACCGCACATGGATGAGTAAGTGCCCCATGCACAGCAGGCAACACTCCTCAGCCGACAGATGCCAAGAGAATATTCATCACGGCCAGAGATTCTCCTTCTCCCATGGAAGCCAGAAACCTGGATTTACACATGAAATTTCCTTGATCTTATTTATTTATTATTTATTTATTTTTGTTTTTTTTTTTTTTTCGAGACAGGGTTTCTCTGTGGCTTTGGAGGCTGTCCTAGAACTAGCTCTTGTAGACCAGGCTGGTCTCGAACTCACAGAGATCTGCCTGCCTCTACCTCCCAAGTGCTGGGATTAAAGGCGTGCGCCACCACCGCCCGGCTTTTTTTTTTTTTTAAATAGAACACTGGGAGTAGAAAAACTATTAAGCGGAGCTAAGGTCAGTACTTTTATAGCAGACTATCTATCAGCTTCTGACCTTTGGCCTCCCTTCCGGGAGTTAAGGCTAGGCACGGTGAGCACAACCAGAGGAGGGGAGGAAGCAGCAAAGGAATAGGCAGAGGCCCTGGTGGGGGAGGGGCGGGAGGCTGCTGCCCTCCCAGCACTGGGCGGGGCCTTCCAGCAGGCACTCCAGGCTCAGGAGACTCCCTCTGTGAAACCACCAGCCTGGCCAGCCAGCCAGCACCAGGGACCTGGGTTGCTTTGCTGTGTGCCAGACTTCCCAAGCCCGACTTGGGGGTTAGGTGGGAGCCCCCCAAACCACGGGAACGAATCGGGGACAATTTTTCTTACGGGAAAAGCTAGGAGCATTTCTAACCTGTCAAGGGCTGACTGTGCTGCACGCACGGCTGTCCCAGCCTCTCCATCCCACTTGTGGAAACAAGGATTAGCTGAAACGGAAGATGCCCGGGTTTGATCCGTGCGTCTGCTCCGTGAGTTCAAGGGTGACAGTTTAAGGGTGCAGAAGCAAACACCTATTGCAAGGTAGACGCAGGCCTCCTCCACGGGGAGATGCCCTCCGAAGTTTGTGTCTTACAAACTCTGTTCCCAGCGTGACTTTGGGAGGTGGAGCCCAGCGAGTAGCAATTAGTGAACCAATGTCGCCATGGAGACGCTGAGGTTGTCCCCTCCTCCTTGCTCCCATCCCACCTGCCGAGGGGTGGCACAGCAGCAGGCCGCCCCAGATGCCTGTGTCAGGCCCCCAGCCGGTCTTCTCTGCAGAGCTGTGAGCCAAATGTCGCTCACGATGAGATGGTGACCCCGAAGTATTATTGTAGCTGCAGGAAACGGGATAAGACCATGGGTTCTGCACTTGGCTCACACCCCTCTTCTCTAGTTTTCTTTCTTAGTCCAAGCCCTGGCTCTCTTGGCTCCAAGGACTTGACACCTTGACTATCAGGCCACCAAGCTAGGGAAGCACAGCAGATTGCTCTGACCTCAGAGAGGGGTCCAGATTATAGGTGTCTTAGCCTAGGTTCTCCAGACAGCAGAAGCTGAGGTAAAGGCCTGTGTTCAACGACCTTATTTAGGGGGTAGTTTCATTATTATAAATCAGGAATCAGAGTGAGAGGGGCAGGAAATGAGGGGAGACAGTTGGCGTGAGATTGGTCCTCAAGGTGACCACGACCCTTATGACCCTTATCGAAAGTGCTAGGGGTTTCAGTTTCCATTTTAGTTTAGAATATTTACATATTTTATGAGATGTCTTAGGTAAACAAGTCATTTTTGATATGAAACTTATGTTTCATAACACTTTAAATACACAGCCAGTAAATAATTTTGTGCATATTTTTAATGATTTTGTGCGCGAAGCAGCTTTTCCTGGTGTGGAATTTTCCACTCATTGCGTCACATCCGCGCTCACAAAGTTGTGGATTTCAGGGGCACTAAGTTCTAGAAAGCGCATCAGGCCACATGACCTCCATCTTTCAAGGGGGCCACATGTGGCAGTCGGCTTTCTATGGCTGTGAGAAACATCTGAAAGAAAAGGCACAAAAGGAGGAAAGGTATGCATCGGCTTGGGGTTTCGGAGGGTTCCTTCTACGACTGGAAGATTCCGTCACTTCAGACCCAAGCAGAGGCAGAAATAGGGTGACAAGAGCAGGGTAGAGGAAAGTGGCTTACCTCACCAAGACCAAGAAGTCAGAGGAGAGGGCCAGAAAACACATATCCTCCGTCTTCGTTGCTTTTTTATTTCTGTGAAGAAATACCATGACCAAAGCAATTAAAAAAAATGAAACATTTAATCGGAAGCGTACAGTTCCAGTGGGCTAGAGTCCCTGACCGCCATGGCATGGAGCATGGCAGCAGGCAGACATGGCACTGATCACTAATGGAGAGCTGACATCTGGAGACAACAGCCACAGGCAGAGACAGACAGAGACAGCGACAGTGACAGAGAGACACACAGAAAGAAAACACGCTAACTGGGAATGGAAGGGGCTTTTGAAACCTCAAAGCCTGTCCCCAGTGACACATCTCCAATGAGGCCACACCTCCTAATCCTTCCCAAATAGTTCCTGATGGGGGAAGTCCTTCTGTGTACATGTTGTCTTATTGGTTGATGAATAAAGCACTGTTAGCAAATAGGGAAGCAAGATAGGTGGGACTAGGAGTCGAGGAGGATTCTGGGAAATGTAGTCAAGAGTAGGGAGCCGCCATGTGATCCCAGGAGGAGAGGGCACAACTAGGCATTCTCGGTGAGATAAGACCTTATAAAAATATATATTAGTAATTATGGGTTAATAATTAAACCAAAGCTAGCCATTAAGAAACCATAGCAAACGACCAACAGCTTCATAATTAATGTAGCGTCCTGCATGTTCATTTGGGACTGATGCAGCTCAGGGACCAGGCTGGAGGGAAAAATGCATGGTACAAGTTCCACTAACTGTCCAACAAATAGTCAAATATATGATCCCATGGGAACTATTCCCATTTAACCATCACCTTCTTCAAAGGCATGACCCCAGGGGCCCTCATCCTCCAACCAGATCCCATCTCCACATTCCCTGCCACTTCCCAATATGCTCAACTTGGGCTCCATCTACGGATTAAACCCCTCATTATGTCAAAACCCTCATGCCCTGATTGTCTCTGGAATGCTGTCTCAGACACACACACACAAGGGTGTGCTCTATTAATTCTCTATGACTCTCTCCACCCAATAAAACTGGCAATTAAAGTCCCGTCACACTCTATGAATGGCTGCCAGAGGAAGGAAGGAAGGAAGGAAGGAAGGAAGGAAGGAAGAAGGAAGGAAGGAATAATTGACCACCTGCTCTTGCTGGCGAAAGCTCACGAGTATTAACTCTGTGTGTGTGACAGAGGTCCCAGGGCAGCTCAGCCCTTCTTACCAGCAGGTAAATGCCTTGTAGCTGAAGGCCACCAGCACTGATACTTCATTGGGATAATCTTTTTATACGCCGTGTGAAGATTCATCTCTGTCCTTCTTCACCTGCCCAAGGAACCTTCCGATTGGTTTAATAAAAGAGCTGAACAACCAATAGCCAAGCAGGAGAGCATAAGTGGGACTTCCAGAGACAGAGGAACTCTGGGAAGGAATCTGAGGTGCAAGAGATTTGCCATCCAGGCTCAACGAAGTCAGACAGAAATACCGTGCTGAGAAGAGGTAACAAGCCACATGGCAAAACATAGATTAAGATAAACATTTTATTAGTATAAATATACTACATATTACATTAAATTAATACGATATAATATAAATATAAAATTAACTAATACAAATTAATTTAAGTTTTAAGAGCTAGTTGGGAACAAGCCTAAGCTAAGTCCAAGCTTTCATAACTAATAAAAAGTCTCCGTGTCATTATTTGGAAGCTCGCAGCCCAAAGCAGGACAAATACTTATATCCATATGATGATGGCCAGTGTCCATAGAGCCAAGACTGGGCCGGCACAGAAAGACACAGTCTCTCCCACCCTTTGTACCCACAAGTGAGGCTGAGAGCGGAGGGTCTGCTTCCCTGTCCAGTCAGCAGAGTCTAGCACTTGGGTCTGGTGACAGACACAGTGCTGTCTCCCCTTGGTGGGATGCTGTTGCCGTAATTCTCTTCCCAGCCAGGTCCCACAGCCACTTCAGCCCCAAATAAATACACAGAGACATATATCAATTTATAATCTGTTGGCGATGGCTAAGACTTCTTATTGGCTAGCTCTGTCTTTGTTTGTTTTTTGTTTTTCTTTTTGTTTTTTGAGACAGGGTCTCTCTGTATTGCTTTGGAGCCTATCCTGGCACTCACTCTGTAGGCCAGACTGACCTCAGACTCACAGAGATCCACCTGCCTCTGCCTCCCAAGTGCTGGGATTAAAGGCATGCACCACCACTGCCCTGCTAGCTCTGTCTTAATTATTAACCCATAACTACTAATCTATGTATTTCTACATGGCCTTATCTTACCGGAGGGCGCGTGGCATGGCATCCTATCCTCCCAGTCTCTCCATGATGTCTCCTTCCATGCTTCCTCTGGCTACCTTTCCCAGAATTCTGTTATTAGCCCTGCCCATCTTCCTGCCTCTGTTGGCTACTGGCTAAACAGCGTTCTATTCATCAACCAATAAGAGAAGCGTATATACGGAAGGACATTCCCTATCAGGATGATTCTGTCAACACCATCCACTTGTCTTTGGCTTTAGCCTTGACTCACAGGGAGCTTGTGGTCAGCGTAAACCTCTACAGGCTTAGCTGGACGCCAACGACTGTGTTCAGGATGTGGCAAGGGGGTTCCTTTGGACTTAGTGCAGCATTCTCTATTCATCCTGTTGAGGATGGGCCCTGTGATTCAGCTAATCAAGACCCCTTTACACTTTGAATGTGTCACCAGAACACACAGGGCTTCTCCTTACCTCTGAGTCGTTTCCAGCTCTCTTTGGGACCTCACATTGTCAGGGTAGCTACTGATCAGTCACTGTTGCTCAGAGTAGCTCCCTGTCTCATGCTGGGGGCTGATGTTGGTCTTGGCTTCCCTCAAATTGGAACTTGACGCAGGAACGTGGGTGCCGGGAAATACTTAAGAGTTGGCAGGGAGCCTGGCAGTGGTGGTGCACACCTTTAATCCCAGCACTCGAGAGGCAGAGGCAGGCGGATCTCTGTGAGTTCAAGGCCAGCCTGGTCTACAGAGTGAGTTCCAGGACAGGCTCCAAAACAATACAGAGAAACAGAGAAACCCCATCTCGAAAAAAAAAAAAAAAAAAGAGTTGTCAGGGGTAAGGATTTGAGGAGAACGGGTCAGGGAAAGTCAATAAATGGTCTGTCCTGTGCTCATTACTACTATGGATGGCTGAGACTAAGTGTTGCTGGAGATTCTTTTGGGGAACTTGTGCCTCAGAGATGTGCCAAGGACGTTGGGAGGGGCGTGACTACGACACATCCACTCAGCTCTCATCTCCCATTAAATCCCCTAGCTCTTCAAAGGAAACCTATCTCAGAAGCTAAGTAAACTCTGAGCTTGGTGGCAGGAATGGGTGGCGCTAACCCTGATAAGTAAGGGGACAAGGCGCTGGGTAACTTATGAGTTGGACATTACAAATAGGAAACTGGGTGTGAGCTTGGTAGGGGAGTTTATCCGAGTCTCACCCATGGGCCTTCCACGGAGCTGCTCTTCTGAGCAGATAGTGTCAGCTCCTCTCCGTCTCCTACTCATCACCCCCTCCGCACTGGAGACATGGCTGGTGTAGGAAATGTACACCCTTTCCCAGGTCACACCCTTCATCCCAGCCTCAAATGCAACAGCTGTCCATACAGCATCCTTGCAAATGGCATGGTGATACAGTTTGCCAATGCTGTCAAAGTTGGCTGGAAGAGACCGCGTAAGCAACAGAAACCCACTTCCTCACAACGGCGAGTGCCAGGTACCCACAACTAAGGCAGCAATAGGGCTGACTTCTCCTGAGATCTCTCCGCTTGTACATGGCTACCCTCTGTCCCCACAGGTCCTTTCACGTGCCTCTGGGTCCTTCCTGATCTGCAGCTCTTATAGGGACAAAGGTTATGCTAGATGACAGCCACGGTGACCTCATTTTACATCTTTAACCCCCATCTTGGAGAGATAGCTCAGTGGCTGGGAACTTGTACTGCTCTTGCCGAGGGCCCAAGTCTGGTTCTCAGTGTCCACATTTGACAGACGGCTTACAACCTCCTGTAACTCCAGCTCCAGAGGGATCTGTCGTACTCTTCTGGACTCTGTGGACACCTGAAAATGCACGAATGCACACACACACACACACACACACACACATCTCTCTCTCTCTCTCTCTCTCTCTCTCACACTCACATGCACACACACACACATTAAAAGATAAATACATTTATTAGAAAAGACACTATCATGCCGGGCATTGGTGGCGCACGCCTTTAATCCCAGCACTCAGGAGGCAGAGGCAGGCCAATTTCTGTGAGTTCAAAGCCAGCCTGGTCTACAGAGCAAGTTCTAGGACAGGCTCCAAAGCAATACAGAGAAACCCTGTCTCGAAAAACCAAAATAATAATAATAATAATGACACTATCTCCAAATATAGATAATTCCGAGGTCCTGGAGGTTGGCACTTCAACCCTTGCTCAATTGTCATGTAACACAGGCACAGGATAGCAAACGTAGTAACAGCAGCGCACTGTCATGTAACATCATAACGCACTGCAGTTCGCAGGGCCCGATTAAGAGGCTTGCTCCAGTTTATCTTCTGTTGCTGTGGTTACTCTGATCAAGCCGACCTGTGGGAGGGAGGGGTTTATGTGTCTCACACTTCCACATCCCGGTCATCACAGTCGGAAGTCAGGGCAGGAAGTCAGGCAGGAACCTGCAGACAGGAACTGAAGCAGAGACCACAGAGGGAGCACCGCTTCCTGGCTTGCTCCCTCCTCCCACTCAGCTAAGCCTCTTTAGGACAATTCAGGTCCAACTCCCCCGGGGTGGGCCTCCCACAGTGGGTTAGGTCTCCTCCCACCAATCAGCAGCGAGGGAAATGCCCACAGACCAACATGCCGGAAGCAGTTCCCGGGTGAAGTTCTTTCTTGGTTGACAACCAGGAATAGCCATGGCAGGCACAAAGAAAGCGTCTCTCACCTCCTACTCACCTCCTATGCTCTTTCCTGGGGCTGAGCTCCAAACCTTGTCCGAGAGGGTGTGGCTGAGGCTCAGTGGGCATCCAGGGGAACTAGCTAGAGGTTCCTTCCCCAGAGCTGCACGGAAACGGATCCTGGCGCGGCAGCAGGCAGAGTGGGGTCTTCAGGAGCAACCTGATTAGAAAGCGATTCGTGAGGTCTCTTTGTGCTACCCACTGGGGTATGAGAAGCTAGCACTGAGACCAAACTCCCTCTGCAGGCACAACAGGCTTTCTGTCCCATAAAGTCCCACCCCCTCGCAATTCATAGTCCTAACACTGGCAAAGGAGAACCTCTTAAAGGGCCCAAAGGAATTTTCACAGAACAGATTGCACCTGGAGTTGACAGGCAACCACGAATTCCTAACGTAGGAAAAGAAGGGATTCTTGCCCAGGCCCATGTGGGCTTCTTACGCAGCCAAAGGCCATTGGTATCTCAGCAGGGGCCTGAGTTTGGCTCTGGGTCTGTGGATACAGACAATGGCATCTCCCGGGTGTCTCGAATGGAGTCCTGTGTAGTTATAGTCTGGCCGGGGATGTCTTGGCATATTGGATGGAGAAGTATCACTGTGGTACAACTGAGGCGTGAGGTGGGGGCAGGTAGGGATGGGGGCTTACTGACAGCTTGGCTACCAGAGGAGACTAGAGACAAAGGTCTAGAGAGACAAAGCCAAGAGCTGCTAAGAGGCCAGCCGTAGGGAAAACGGTCTGATTGCTGGTAGAGGTCTTAGGAGTGAGGAAGGCTTCCCTTATACCCTCTTAGTACAGACTACAATCTTAGAATCACCAAGTGACTGGGAATAGGGGTATAACTCAGTGGTAGGACTGCTTCACTCCAAGACCCTGGGTTCAATCTGTAACACCACCCCTACCATCACAATAAACAAATATCACAGGTGGATGAGGTGGGGGGGGGTCTGGATGGGAGGGATCATGTTGGGGGAGGATGGAGGGAGGGAGTTACTGGGAAAGACAGCCGGAATCATGGGCATCTCTGGGATGAGTTAGAAACCTAGAGCAACGGAAACTCCCAGGAATCTATGAGGGTGACCCCTAGTTAAGATCCCTAACAACAGAGGACATGTATCCTAAAGTGGCTATTTCCTGTAACCAGGCAAGTCTTCCTGTGGAGGGACTGGGCCCTCGACCCAGCCACATAACCTCTGACCTACAATGTCCCCTACCTGTAAGATATGCTGGGACAAAGGTGGGGCAGAAATTATGGGAGTGGCCAACCAATGGCTGGTCTAGTTTGAGACCCATACCATTGTTAAAATGTCTAGGTTTACCCAGTAACCAGACACAAACCGTGACTCAATGATCCCACGTGTAGTTTTATTAGTGGACAGGGAGGAAAAGGGGGTGAGAGGTAACCAGCCCGTGAAGAGGAGAGGGAGAGGGAGAGGGAGAGGGAGGAGAGGGAGAGGGAGAGAGAGAGAGAGAGAGAGAGAGAGAGAGAGAGAGAGAGAGAGAGAGAGAGAGAGAGAGAGAGAGAGAGAGAGAGAGGAGAGGAAGAGGAGAGGAAGAGAGAGCATAAGCCAGCAGGGGTCAGTCGTCAGTCCTTTAAAGGGGTCCTTTGCACCTGTGTGGTTCTCCCAGAACTCTGGGCTGGCCAGAGTGCTGCCTGAGTGCATCCTGCCAGGTAACAGGGCAGGCCAGCGCAATGCTTGAACCTTTCACATACTATGAGAGGGAGCCCAATCCTGACACAGCCTGGAAGGCCAAGACCAAAGAGGTTGGACAGCCCAGAGACCTAGGATAGCACTAAATATGACTGGCAACAAAAGAGAAACATAATCAAAGAAATGATTCCTAATGATACTCTGCGCTAATCACAGACTGGTTGGTGCCCAGCTGTGGTCGTCAGAGGCTTCAGCCAGAAACTGATGGAAACAGATGCGGAGACCCACAGCCAAATCTTAGGCGGGCTTCAGAAAAGCCCTGTGAAAGAGGAGGGGAAGGATTATGGGAGCCAGAGGGGCCAAGGACACCACAGGGAAACACACAGAGTCCACTGACCTGGCCTCATGAGGGCTCACACAGACTGAACCAACAGCCAGGGAGCCTGCACGGACCCACCTGGGCCCTCTGCACGTGTGTTGCAGGGGCGCCGGCTTGGTCATCTTGCAGCACAGGGAGAGGGTGTGGGGTGGGACTGTCTCTGACTCTGCTGCTCGCTCTTGGGACCCTTTCCTCCTGCTAGGTTGCCTTGTCCAGCCTTAATAGGAGAGGAGGTGCCTAGTCTTGCTGAGACTGGATTATGTCATGGCTGGTGAATGCCCCTGGGAGGCCTGCCCTTTTCTGAAGGGAAGGGAGAGGGGGGTGGGTGTGGAGGAGGCTGGGGGAGGAACTGGGAGGAAAAGGGGGGTGACTGTGACTGAGCTGGGGAAAATTGATTAATTAAAAATAAAGTATTGTGAACAAAAATAAGTAAATAAATAAATAAATACATTTAAAATGGCCCAAATCTGGGAGAGCCAGGGGAGATATTCAGGAGAGATTATCATTTGCATTCTAGCTGCTAATATAATATTATAGACAGGAAGTTGAGATAGGCCTCTTCTCTTTTGTGTTTCCAGGAGTTTAAAGGTTATAATAATTCAGCCTTGGAGCAAACAATCGGGGTTTCTCATGCCAGCCCAACGAGAAAGGACTGAGAAGTTTCCCTTCATGCCTCACCACCGCTCCATCTGAGCCAGCGAGGGATTCCTGTATGCAGTGTGTGGTGCTTGCTGTGATTTACTGTGGAACCGTCCTGCGGATGGAAACGTCACTGTCTTTCTAGGCAACAAGACTGTGGCTGTACCAGGCTTTCTCTTTTGAGAGACACAAGACTTATTATTAGTTTTAGTGCTTGGCCTTAGCTTAGTTAGCTCTGATTTTATTTATTTATTTATTTATTGGTTTTTCGAGACAGAATTTCTCTGTGACTTTGGAGGTTGTTCTGGAACTTGCTCTTGTAGATCAGGCTGGTCTTGAACTCACAGAGATCCACCTGTCTCTACCTCCCGAGTGTTGAAGCTCTTATTTTAATCTGTTTCTCTTTACCTACATTTTGCCTTGGAGCTTTTTACCTTTCTTTCTTTCTTCCTTCCTTCCTTCCTTTCTGTCTGTCTGTCTATCTCTGTCAGTCCTACTTCCCTGCTTTGATGTCTGGCTGGTGGCTGCCTGGCTTCTGGCCCTGGTCATGCCCCTCTCTTTCTCCTTCCTTCTCTCCCCTTTCCTCTCTCCCAAGCCTAGATTTCTCCTCCTCCTTTGTCTGCCCGCCAGCCCCGCCTGTCCCTCTACTGACTAGCTATTGGCTGTTCAGCTTTTTATTAGACCTATCAGGTGCCTTAGGCACGCAGGTGAAACAGATGCAACACATCCTTACATAGCTGAATATACACACTTACATATTAAACAAATGCAGCATGGTAACACGAATAAATAAATGACCCAGAGACTGATATTGGGGTTCAAACTTCAAGTTGAACATCAGAAAAACAAAGCAGCCAGCCACTACTTGCTCTAACCTCTAGCTTAGGTTGAAAGGGCTGATCCACACACTAGCTCTTCACCAAGTCTCAAACTGCTGCCTCTCCTCAGCGTGGCTGGAGAATGAAAAGCCTCTCTGAGACCTTGCTTCTGTCTTACATAGTTTCCTAATGTTGGGGTTAAAGGTGTGAGCTGTAATTCTCTTTTAGACTGATTTACTCTTGTGTAGATCTGGGTGGCCTTGGGTTCACAGAGATCTACCTCTTAACCCCGAGTCCTTGGATGAAAGGTGTGCGCCACCACCTCCTAGCTTCTGGCTGCTGGGTTTAAAGGTGTGTGTGCCTGGCTTCTATGGCTTGTGGCTGACTTTGCTTTCTGAATCTTCAGGCAAGCTTCAGTAAATCATAAATAATGTATCACCACACAGCATAAACAAATGCCACACACCTTCACACAGCTAAGGTAATATTCTGCAGCCATGTAACACATCCTTGTCTAGCCAGTCAAAACAACATTCCACAACACCTGGCCCCTCCGCCCAGGCTTGAACTCGGGCAGCTTCTCAACGCCTCATAGCAATGAGCAGAGATGAGCTGTGAAGGGCCCTTCCACATTTCAGGACTCACTTGGAAAGGTCTAGGTTTACAACTCAGACGAATCAGCGCCCAGTCTCACTTAATGGAGTTTTTCGTTTTTCAAAGGATTGCCAGTTTAATTATTTTAAAAAGCAAATCATCCAGAGTGAGCCGTGGCTTACCACAACACTTCAGGGACACAAGCATGAAATAAAAAGTAGGGCAGTCATATTACCACTGCTGGGGACTTCTGTCCAGACCCACCAGCTAATCTCTCTCTGGTCTGTGCTTGGAAGCAGGAGTGTGCCTCGGGGAAACAGATACTCAAAAGATGGGAGATAAGAGTCAGGAGAGCATTCAGTGATTACTGAACCACCCACGTTTATTGTTCGAAGTCTTTTTATACTCCCATCAAAGGAGGGGGAGAAGGCAAAAGACTTCTTTATCAAGATACAAAAAGAACAAGCAAGCACAATTACCTTCTCAATACCCCCCCAAAAGCCAAGTAACTATAAAGTATTCTGTTGTTCAGGAAGGACATTCATCGACCACACCTTAGGCCAAGTGTCCTGTTATATTTACATCTTTGGCCAGACATCATTGCTGTTTCACCCCAGAAGAGCACACAAGGGCAGGCAAGAAGTCTCCGACCTCAAGTCAAAAGAGAATGGAGTCAGTCCTGTGGGTTTCCCACATATTGAGAATTGCCAATTTTAATTGTTCCCTCCCACTTATCTGGGGTGAGTCTTTCTTGACATCCAAGAAGTGTCCATACCTGATAAGATTTTAGAGACAGTGCTGAAACTCTCAGACTCAAGAAAAAGCAGAATAGAAGAAAGAAAGAAAGAAAGAAAGAAAGAAAAAAAGAAAGAAAGAAAGAGAAAGAAAGAAAGAAAGAAAGAAAGAAAGAAAGAAAGAAAGAAAGAAAGAAAGAGAAAGAAAGAAAGAAAGTCCTGGTGACTTGAGACTTGCAGGTCCTAGAAGCAAGTATATCTGGTATGCCTAAAAGTACCCCTGCCCTCAGATAGCTCACCTCGGTGAGGATGAATTTAATTAGTGGTTCTGAGGACTCTCGGCTGAGGGACTTGGAAGCCTCTGTGTTGGAAGGCCAGGTGGATGGGGTGTGTGCTATGTGCATACGCAGGTGTTGGAGGTGCCAGGAACAGGAACCCGTGGACACGCATTGTCTGCTTTCTCATACCTAGTGCCTGGCACAGGGGGGCACACATGAATGATTCTGGGAAGACACCAGAGCCTGGCGACAGTTGGTGCGTAGTATGGGACAGAGATGCTGATTGCCTTAGAGAGCAGGAAAAATGACAAAGACAGGAGCCACATCGTTGAGGGCGTGTCACATCTTTGGGTCAACCAGCACTTTTGCGGTTTCTGCCTTCTCAAGGATGGCGCGGCAGCGGGATCCCTGACTTTAACCGGTTTACAAACTCGGCTTAGAGCGCCGTCGGGTGAGTCCTGGGAACTTTGCACACGTAGCCCCCGAGGGACAGTCCAGGGAGGTTGTGGCTGCAATTCGCCGGACACCTCCCCTAGGGTGATGGTGGCCGCCAGCTTTGCAGAATGCTGGAGCATGCACGCAGTTTTTCGGAGCACAGGACGAGCTGGTGGAGCGTAGCCCGGGGCTCACTTTTCTGGAGGGCAGCTTCCTAGAGCGCGTGGCCCGGCAGGTTCTGCAGAGAGCGCTCTACCCTACCCGCGGGCCTCGTGCTGCGGCGGGGGTCGCCCAGACCTCACGGGGGGAGGGGGAGGAAGAGGGGCAGGGCCGTGCGCGTGGCGCTTTGCACGCTTTTGCAGCGCGCGGGACCCGGGGCAGCCTGCGCGCGCGCGGGGGTGCGTAGAGGGCTGTCCCCGTCCCCCCCTCCACGGCGGACCCGCGAGCCACCGGCTTTCCCGGGGTTGTGCGCGCAGCCCCGCCCGGCCCGCGTCTGCCCCGCCCGCTCCTCCCCCGCGGGCTCACGGACTTTTACTTTCGCTTTCCCTAAAGTTGTCCCAGACCCTGGCCGAGGATCGGACGCCGCCGTGGGCTCCCGCCCGCCACCGTGGGGACGACGGTAACTTGCCCCCCCACCGCGGCTTTCCCGCCCCTCTTCCACGTGCTTCCTCCTCCGCGCGTCCCCGCCCCGGGTCCCCCTCCCTCCCTCCGGCTCGCACAGCTTGGCTGCTCTGCAGACGCAGGCTTTGCTCGGCTTGTCCCTCCCTTGGCCTCCCAGCCGGGGTCGTCCGGCGACAATCCGGTGCGGTTCGGATGTAACGGGAAGGAGAACGGGTGTAGGGCAGTGGTCAGGGCGGCTTGCCCTCGGGAGGACTGACTCGTCACACCGGCCGGGCCGCTTGGGCGGTGGGAATCGTGGGCGGTCCCACTGGCTGACTTGGTGCGTGCACAGGAGAGGAGGGAGGGAGTTAGTGGGGTGCAACAGGTCTTTGACCCGGGCAGAGTGTGCTGCTTGAACGACTCGCCCTTGTTGGGGGACCTTTGCATGCATCGGGGCTCCTGCAGCAGCGACTTTGAGAAGGTGGGAAACTGGCCACTCCGGGCGGCGTGGGCTCCAGACCTTCGCTCCTTGCTCGCTTTATTGGGAAAATTAAGTTTTCTAGTATGTTCCTTAAGTAGTTCTCTGCCCCCCCCCCTTGAGCTGGGCTGACTGATGAGGGCCCGGTTTCCGGTTGACGGGCCGTTTCTTCCTTCGGAGTTTGGCCAGCCCGACTTTACAACCCGTCCACACTGTTAAGGCCTAACTTTATAATCTGCCGCCGTCCAGCCCGCAGCAGGCCGTGGGCAAAGTCTCCGGTTACCCTGCCTTGTTAGCCTCAGGTGGCACTGGTGTGGAAGGTGGCAGCCTCAGGACTTCGAGCGCTTGGGGAAGAATACATTTGGGCAGGAAGTTATGTGTGATGTCACTGTGCCAGGAAAGCAGGCCCGGCTAGTCAGTTTCCTCTAGAAAAAACAAAACTAAGTTCAGGCGGCATCCGCCTCGTACAGTTTTCTTCAGCATGTCTAGTGTGGTTTCTGTTACTGTGACACAAACAAACCACAAAAATAAATAAATAAAATAAAACCCACCCTTACCAAAAGCAACTTAGGTAGGACAGGCTTTATTTCCTCTGACTATTGCAGGGCACTCGCCATCACTGAGGGAGTCTGGGCAGGAACCCGGAAGTGAAAACTGATTACTCACTCACACAGTCCAGACCCTGCTGCCTGTGGATGGTGCCACCCGCAGTGGGCTGGGACCCCCGGTTACGACAGATCCCCCACGGAGAAGGCCACAGGCCAGTCTCATCTGGACTGCTCCTCAGTTGTGGTTTCCTCTTCCCAGGTAACGCTAGGTTATGTCACGGTGAGGAAACAAGCCAGCACACCTGTCAGTGTGCGTTCAGGGCAGACGGCATCCCAGCAGCCAAAGTGCTTGCAAGTAGGAGTGGTCACTTGGTGAGACAGGCATTTGGAGTAACCAGGGAGCGGCCGGTCACAGTCTTTGCCAAGCAGCATCTTGGGAACTAGCACAGGGCCCCCACGAGAGGTGGCTTCCTCCTAGATCCCATCTCTTAAGTCTCACCATCGCTTAGCATCATGTAGGGGGCTAGCCTTCCACCACAGGCATCGCGGAGGGGCCAACTACACCCGAACCACAGCAGCAGACATCACACACTCGAAGTCGTTCAAGGACACTTTTCATGTCTCTTTGACAGTGGGCAAGCAATGTCGCCGTGACGACAGCTGCACTTCGCAGCCCCTGAAAAGGGGACAGGCACAGGAAAAGTGAAGCTAGGAAGATGCTACACCCCCACCCCCACCCCCAAGGCACAGTGGAACCAAGGCGAAATGTCTTTCTGGGAGAGGGCTTGAGGATGAAACCAGGAGTCAAAAATCAAGAGTTGGCCCCACCATGGGAACAAGGAAGCTACAGACTGCTTAGCCTTACAGACGGGAGAGGCCAGTCCGCTGCTGCTGATGTGGGTTGTTAGCTGAAGGCTTGGGTTCCTCCCTTTGCGATGTTTCTTGGCCCCTGGTTTCGGGCATCTCAGTGTCTGGCCTGCTTGTCCTGTTCCTATGGGGAGCATCCTGCTGCTGAGAGCACATGGTGGCACAAAGTTGCCCACCTCCTGGCAGCCAGGGAGCTGCTTTAGTAAAGCCTTAATCAGTGCTCTGTTGCTGGGAGGAGACGCCCTTTGGCAGCTCCTATAAAGGAAAGCATTTAATTGGCGCCTGGCTTAGTCCATTGGCAGCATGGCGGGAAGCATGGCGGCAGGCAGCCAGGCAGGCATGGGGCTGGACAGGTGGCTGGGAGTTCTACATCTAGACTGCAGGCAGCAGGAAGAGAGAGGGAGACCCTGGGCCTGGCTTGAGCACTCATACCTTAAAGCCCCACCCCCAGTGACACGCTTCCTCCAAGAAGGCCACACCCACTCCAGCAAGACCACGCCTCCCAATCATGACACTCCCTATGAGCCTAGGGGACCCATTTTTATTCAAACCGACACAAGCCTCCTACAGAAGGCACTGAGAAGCGTTGGCTGAAGGAAGTCTCCGGCTGAGTCATTTAGCGCTGACCATATGTACGTGGAGCAAGCACGGTCAGTGCACCTAAGAAAAGCTGATGTTCCCTTCCTCCCTAGCGGAGGTTCTCAACCTTCCTTACGCTATGATCCCCCCCAACAGTTCCTCGTGTGGTGGTGACCCCCCAACCGTGGCATTACTTCATTTCTGCTTCACTAACTGTGATTTTGCTACCGTTGTGAGCCATAACGTAAATCTGATAGGCAGGACGTCGGGCATGTGGCCCCCGAGGGGGGTCTCCACCCAGGGGTTGAGAAACACTGCTTTAGAGTGGTCTCAGCTCCCATGAGGCAGAGCACCGCAGCAACGGGTTCATTCAGAACAGCTGCTCCCTTGCATCAACCAGAAAGCGAGAGGAGGTGGTAGGGCGGGCCCAGGTACACACTACGCTTTGGAGAAACGGTCCCAGTGGTGCATGGTGCATTCCCTCCAGCGAGGCCCCCGCCTCCGGAAGCCTCCATCTCCCCACCAGCTGGAGACCAAGACTTCACTCAACACGCAAGGGCGTTTCACTTTGAAGTCATAACTGTGGGGTGTTTGCTCCGTGGCTTGGAAGTTAAAACGGAAGAGGAAGTGGGTCTCTGTTTCCTCAGAGGATCCATTTGAGTGACTGGAAGGGTTCCCCCGAGGTCTCGCTTTGGGTCCCTAACAGCAGGCTGTTGGGGAACCTTTGGGGGAAGGGACACCAGATCCAAACCAGCCACATCTTTTGCGTTATTTTCTTTTTTTAATTAAGTTAGTTTCTGCTATTTAGCTGTGTGGCTTCCTTCTGGTTTGGGGCTTTATCCCTTTGACAGGTAATATTTTGTTCACCCACTGCTGTTAAAATGTCTTGCTTTTGTCCATCCTTCTAGGCAGGGTGATGGGAGCATGGAACTGCCCTCCTGGGCTCTCTGCTAGGTACAGTTTTGAGGATCTGATCTCTTGGTGCTGGATTCTCTGTAGACACCTACACCTGCAGGCTGTGTTCTGGCCTGTGGGGAGTGGACCAAGGTGTTGTCACTTCTAAGGCTTGATGAGAGCTGTTGCTTCCTGTTCTGCAGACACAAGGGCCTTCTCTCTCTCTCTCTCTCTCTCTCTCTCCCTCCCTCCCTCTCTCCCTCCCTCCCTCCCTCTCTGTCTTATGGATCTTAGGTTTAACCTTTAAGATTAAATTTTGTGAAAGAATCGAGGTTTCAGACCATGTTGACGATATGTCTTTTCGGGGAGGCTTTGACATAGATTTAACTGGCTACTTTTCGAGCGTGTGCCCTGCTGATGACTTAAGGAATCTGTGTGAAGAAGATGACCAGGAAAAGCGGCTCGTGTCTTCTGACTGCAGGGCCTCTGCTTGTCTCCTCCGAAGGTATCATCTCTGCTCTGAAGAGACATTTGGGGTCCTGATCTGAGAGACCTGTGTCCTGATCAGAAGCTCTTGGTCACTGTGGAGGGGAGGCCTGTGAGGTGCAGGGATGGTAGCCATCTGGTTTCCTGGCCATTGTGGGTGCGGCCTTCCTGTTTCAGTTCCCTCTCCACTACCTGCAAGCCAAGACCCTCCTTTCTTCTCCCTTCCTCTCCCTCTCCTCCCTCCCCTTCTCCCCTCCCCTCCCCCTCTTTTCTCCCCTCCCCTCCCCCTCTTTTCTCCCCTCCCATCTCCCTCCCCTCCCCCCTCTCTCTCTCCTGCCCTCTCCCTTCCTTTCCCTCCCCTCCCCTCTCTTCTTTCCTCACCATCTTTTCCCTCTCCCATCCTCTCCCTCCCCTCCATCTCTCCTCCCCTCCCTTCCTTCCCCCCTCTTCCCCCCCCTCCCCTCCCTTCCCCCTCCCCTCCCTCTCCTCTGCTTCCTCCTATCTCTGCCATCTGCTGGAAGGTGACTTCACAGTGACACCTCAGAGCCAAAGTCCACAAAGCTCTTGCTTGTCCTCCATGGACACCCTCTCTAGGCTGGGTTCCGCCTCCAATGTCATCACTGTCACCTCCTGGGACACAAGGACTCTTGAAGGTGAATATAATCATTGTCTTTATATAAAAACCACCTTCTCCAGCCATGTGAACAGTCCCCGGGCCAGCACACACACATACACACACACACACACACACACACACACACACACACACACGAAAAAAAGCCCGAGACCAGATAAACTCTGAAGTTTGCGTCTCTGGTCTTTTCATGCAGAATGAAACAGGATTTGACCCGTGAACAGTGGTTCCAATATGGGCGCTCCTTGGACCAGCTGCGTCTTGTCTAGCTAAGTCTTTAACCATGGGGGATACTCATTTCCTCCAGCCTTCCACTCAATTAGTATTTATTTAGTAAGCTCCGTCTGTGTGCCAGATGCCTCTTCCACAACGAGTTTACGTTGTCCTGCGGGAGCCAAGCAATTAGCGGGGGCACAAATACAGTGACAAACGCAGGAGCCAAGTAGGCAGAGAACGTGGTGTAAACAACCAGGTAGTAAACATTTTTGTGTGTGTGTGTTTGCTCACAGAGAGCAAGCTGGCAGAGACAGCTGACTTTACTCACATCCGCAAGTGGGCCAGCGTGCTGACACCTGCCCTAGGCCTCGAAGGAACTTGACATCCAAGGGGACAGATTAAAAACTGAAGTTTTAAATAGCGGGGATCACTTGGGAGATGTGTGTGCAGTGTTTATGTGCTGGTGTGAACACAGGCCAAAGCTCAACCCCAGGTGTCATTCATTCTTCAGGAGTCTGCCTACCTTTTTTTTTTTCTTTTTTGAAGACAGGGTCTTCTCCTAGGTTCTGGAAACTACTGATTAAGCTAGGCCGCGTGTCCGCATCCCTGAGACTGGGATTCCAAGTCCGTGCCACCATGCTGGAATCGAACTCCAGTCCTTGCCTTAGGCTCTTGAAGATCCTTTTTTTTTAAATAATTTATTTTTATTTTATGTGCTTTGGTGTTTTGCCTACATGTACATCCGTGTGAGGGTGTCAGAAACCCTGGAACTGGAGGTACAGACAGGTACGAGCAGCCCTGTGGGTGCTGGGACTTGAACCTGGGTCCTCTGGGATTGCAGACAGTGCTCTCAGCCAATGAGCCATCTCTCTAGCCATCTTGAAGATTCTTGAGGAGGGAAACCGTTTGATGGAAATCCACCTGGGTAGATCTCATCAATCACCTGCAGTGAAGAGAGCCCCGTGCTGTCTCTGTGCTGAGTGATGCCAAGGGAAATGTGGGCGTCCCGTTACTGCCAGGAATCTGGGGGGCCTTCCTGATTGTTACAAACCCATGACAGGCTTTGCACAGATTTTTGCACACACCAAATGTTTAGCAAACCCTTGGGTGCTGGAGTGGAGGCTCCAAGGTCAAGCAAGGGCTTTGGTTTCTTGGTGTGCATTACTTGGTCACGGGAAGGAGGGAGGCCTGCCAAAGTTGGCACTGTGTATTTTATTATCGCTGGTGCAGGACCCCTGGAGCGTAAATATGCAAGACCGCTGGCCCCGAGGTTTAATTCACTAAGAGCAAGAGAGTGTCATTTAAAAGTACCAAGAAACAGAGGCGACAGTTGGTAGAATACTTGCTGCTCAAGTGTGAAGACCTAAATTCAGTTCCTAAGACCCACATAGAAAGCCAGGAGCAGTGGCACGCAGTTGCAGTCCCAGCGCTCCAGAGGCAGAGACTGGCGGATCCTTGGGTCTCACTGGCCAGCCAGCCTACCCTGACTGGGGAGATCCAGGCCGGTGAGGAAGCCTGTCTCTGCTAACAAGGCGGGGCCAGTGCCTAGGGAACGACACCCAAGGTTGACCTGTGGCCTCTACATGCACGGGCACCCATGCGTGTTCACTTGCTCACACGCGAGCACACACGTGCATCGTGAGCAACGGCTCCGCTTTGCATCTCTGTTCCTCTATTCTGGTTTCCCTCCCAGATGGCAGACGACCAGAACTGTGCTCCAGAGCTGGAGAAAGCGGATCCTTCCGGTGAAGACGGGGTCGATGCTAAGCCCGACCGCTCCTCCATTATCTCATCGATTCTCGGGTACGTTTTCCACTTGGCGGTGCTCATCGCTCCTCAGCCACTTAGGCCTGATTGCCGCCCACCCTGCGTATGGAGAAGGAGGTTTGTGTTGTGCAAGTGGTGGGGGGGGGGTGGCGTGCAAGGCTCTGTGTAACGGTAGGTACCGTCTGGCTTGGGCAGGTCCCAAGCTTTGAGGGACAATTCCCAGGAATGAAAGGCTGCTCTGATTTGGGGAGCCCTGCAGAGCAAGGTTGGGGCTTCTGATGCTGGTTGGCAAGGAAGACAGCTGGAGGGCATACTCCGGGTGCTAAGGAATAGCAGGTACCAGAATGAGTAATAGCAGGTACCAGAATGAGTAATAGCAGGTACCAGAATGACTTGCTCCTTGTGTGAAGCTGGTACCCGACCCCCCCGCCCATGCCCAGGGCCCTGCCTTTCCTGAGCTCACTGTGTAGTCCGCATCTGAATGTATCAGTAATCGCGTCTTTATTTATTATTGCGATTACCGCATTAATCCATATGTATTCAGGGAGATGGTTCCATCGCTAATGCCACTTGGCAGTTAGGGAAACCGAGGCACTGAGAGGTTTGGTCGCCTGTCTTATGATGAGCCAATAAAATGGTAGCCCTGAGACAGTCGCAGAAACAGTCACCTAGCTGATTTGTGGTGTATTCTCTACTTAGAAGGAGGGCTGGGCCAGCAAGGGTAGAGGCCGCATCCGCCAACCCTGAGGACTCCCGCCCACCCCCCCAACAGTTGTCCTCTGACCTCTACGTGTATATAATTGTAACTTTGAAAACATTTAGAAAGGGGGGTGCAGGGGAGCAGAGGCACCCCACAGCTTCTTTTGACCGGGGGACACGTGAGGCTCTTTCTGAGGGTCAGACACATCTGAAAACGCTGAGCGGAAAACTCCAGAAATGAACAACTCACGGGTTGGGAATCGCACGCTGACTTTCCGTGTGGTGCGATGGGGTCTTGTGTCACCCTGCTTTCCCGTCCCAGGTGTGCCGTCTCTTTGTCTAGGGTGTGGACACTGCTCACCGGTTGTCACATGGGGGGTACGACAGAGCTGTGGTCAGGTCACCCTCCAGAGAGCCGGTTCTCGATGCTGGCACCCCCAACGGGCCAAGGAGGAGGGTAAGCACAGAGTTCTTTCTGAGTGAGAGCTCTCAGCAGCATACGGAAGCAAAAACCTGTGCTCAAGTTGCTGGACTCCCACTGTAAGAATGGATCTGGGCGGGGAGGGACCTGGGATGGTGCCTTGGTGATCACTCACTGCGCAAGCTTGAGGTGCTCTGGTCACTTTCCCAGAACTCACATGAATCCTGCGTGGGTGGTGGCCTGCCTGTAATCCCAGCCTTGTGTGGCAGAGACAGGAGTCCGCAGAGTGAGCCATATTGTGAGCTCCGGGTTTGACTGAGAAACCCTGCCTCATTGGAGAAAGTGGAAGAGCCATAGAGGGCAATTCCCGACTTCAACAGGGGGCCTCAAGATACACAGCAGCTGGCATCCGCTACCGCACCCATGTACCCACACTTGTAAACACACATGCGCGACGCGCGCGCACACACACACACACACACACTCACTGTGAAAACGGAAAAGGGGGCGTGAAAGGATGACTCTTCTTTCCAGAAACTGTAAGGAAAGGGGACTTGCTGGGACGCCGCCCACCATGCACAGTGAACTTCATCGTGGTGGAGAAGGCACAGGTTGGCAGGATTTGGTATTGCAGGTGGTTTTGGATACCCGTCAGTGGGGCATGCGCCCCACGGGCAAGAAGGGACCACTGTGCTTTCCAAACTCCTCCCACTAGACACACACAGCCAAGGGCGTGGTGGCTGAGGTGGTGCTCCATGCCGTGCTCAGGAAGGGAAGGGCTGACCAGCGGGCTTTCTGTCCCCACACCCCGACCTCCTGAGGCAGCTTCCCGCTGTGCTGTCCCAGATAGGATGCAGGAAGGGTGGAACCACAGGCAGTGGGCTTGAATGTCAGTGATTGTCTTTTGAGTTCCAGAATTAGAGATAATGCAGCTTCCAACTCCTGGGGACTTTCAGGAGCCCAGGTTAGCCCATTTTTTTCAGAGGAAAGCCTCTTAGAGCAATGGCCTCCAAGTGTTTGATGTCACATTGTAACACTGCACGCTCCCTTGTCCACTTTAAGGTGGCGACATTTCTTAAGACACTTTTGAGCGTTCAGGTGAGAGACAAGCAGAGATTGTTTGGCAGTTGGTGAATCTTTGGAGTGTTGCTCTTCCTGGAAGACATGGAAAGAGTTGTGTGCTCACCAGTGACCATCTTGTATTTAAGTGCATCCGGTGCAGTCTAAAGGGACTTTTTACCTTTCCTTAGTCATTAAAAATATAAACAACACTTTGGTGGACGGAATTTTTATCTTGCTTTTTTCCCCTCTTAAATTTGCCCTTTTTTAAAAAAATCCTCTCTTCCACTTCATTTTATTCTCTCAGACTTAGCTACTTGAAAGTCTTCCAGTCCTCACCAAAGCATATAGCTGTCCGTGCACTCATGTGTACATTGTGTGCATTTGAAGGCATCATCCAGTTTTCCCGAACGTTTTGAAAGGAATCCATCCCCCCCAGCTAAATTCCTGTTTCTGATTCGCAGTTACTCTAAATAAATAAGTCATTAGCATTATTACCTTGCTACTTGTCAAAATAAGTAGACGCTGCAAGTTGTGCTGAATTTGCAGGCTTTAAGAATGTTTCCTAGTAAGTGAAGAAACACACTCGGCCGTGGGAGGCAAAGCCAGGGGCTCTTTTGCTTATTTCCCGTTTCCAGATCTGCAAGCACTGAGGACTCACGAATGAATGTGTGGAACGGAAGAACATGGGATAGTAATGGCGTTTAATTCTCGAATTCCTTCTGAGCGCTGTACCAAAGCAACTACCCGACTCTGCATTCAACCCCCAATTCCTAGGAAGGTTATCAAAAAGTCTGTAACAACCCCCTCCCAGTTGTTTCCAAGGCTGCTTGCCTTTTACTTAGACTAAGGCCAAAGTGTTGGGGAAAGACGAATTTGTGAACATGCGAAACTAGTCTTTGTGACCTATGTATGCATGCACATAGTAGGACTGCCAAGCCGCTAGCATAGCTTGTTCAGGTGTGCAGACCCTGGTGTGCCAGTTTGCAAAGCCAGCTGGTCAAGCAGGTACCTGCACCACACTGACTGTCTCAGCAGAGCTCTGAAATCACTTTCCATTTAGCGAATGTCTTGCTAGGCGTCTGTCTTAGTGTTTCTGTCGCTGTGAAGAGACACGGTGACCATGACTGTAGGGTGGCTTACAGTTTCAGAGGCTGAGTCCATTATCATCACAGTGGGAGGCGTGCAGGCAGACGCGGTGCAGGAGAAGCAGCTGAGGGTCCTACATCTTGATTTGCAGGCGACAGGAAGTGAACTGCCTCACTGGGCGTGACTTGAGCATATATGAGACCTCAAAGGCCCACCCCTCCAGTGACACACTTCCTCCTACAAGGCCACACCTCATAATAGTGACATTCCCCTTTGGGGGCCGTTTTCTTTCAAATCACCGCGGCATCCCAGGACAGCCTTCGTGTTTCTGGATTTGAAATTACAGTCGGATAGACGTGGGAGTAGCATGGAGGGAATAGCATGCAGTCCAGCTCTGCTTCCTGCCTAGGGTCAGCGCTTGCTCCACCCTCCTGAGGTTCTGCCAGGAGGAAATGGCTGGGAATAGAGGGGCTGAAAGACCACTGTCATCAAGCCACCGTCCCTTTCCATTCTTGAGGATGCTTTCCACTGTGTAGTTGGGTTTGGCACAACCCAAAGCTGAGTTCTAAATGCCAGTCTCCCCCTTCTCATATGTTACAGGGAAGCCCACTTGTCCCCTTCCTAGGCGGCTGGGGCCTTGTGCGGCATGGCTCTGTCAGGTAGGTGGTGGAGATGGGAGAATGGGAAAGGAGGAAAGGATGGGGTGTCATGGAGACGAGGTCTAGGGGGACCCACACAAAGGGAAGTTAAGGATCTGGACACGTATTTGCTTAAAGCAAATGACTAAGGCCTTTGGGACGATTGAGATTTCTGCTTGAAGACCTAGACCTTGGCATAAGCCCTGTTGTTTTGCTAAAGTGATATAGTCTGTGGTGTACCCCCTCTACCCTTGGGAAGTGATCGAACTTGGGTAACCTGGTTCTGGTGCACTGTAACTGTTAGTGCATGGCTGATGTCAGCATCGGAGTTTGTGTTATCCAAGTGAACGCTTGAGTGTCCTTGTGCGGTATCTAAATTACGAGCTGTTTTTCTTAAATGCTGATTTTGTTGCATGGAATATAAGACTGTTGAATAATTGAACAGTTCTGAGCTGCGATGAATGATGATTTAATGTCATATTCTCCTAAGCTGTGAAACATTAGTTTATTTTCTCAACTTTCTTTAGGCATCTGGCTCTTTAAATAATCAAAGCTTCTTAAAGTCTTTCCACTTATGACCCAAGAAATTTGTGCGTGTCTCCATGTGTGTGTGTGTGTGTGTGTGTATGTGTGTGTGTGTGTCTACATATAAATCCATGTAGGTATATGAAAATCAAATGCTTACTAAAAGCCATCAGGAAATTTGATATAAGGCTGGGAGACAGCTCAGCAGCTGCAGTGTTTACCACAGGTAGGATGGCCTGAGTTCAGCCACCAGAACCCATGTAGGTAGCCACCTCCCAGGAGGAAAGTGTGTTAATGAAGTGCAGCTAGGATTTGCCAGGCATGTTGTCGTGCACTTCCAATGTCGGGTCTAGAGAGGTGTAGACAGGCAGATCCCTAGGGCTCACTGGCCGGCCACACTAGCCTACTAGTGAGTTACAGAATAGTGGGAAGCCCTGTCCCACAAACCAAGGGATTGGATCCTGAGGAACATCACTTGAGGTTGCCCTCCATCGTTAGAGCATGAGCTAGTGCATTTGTTCACGAATGGACAACACACACACACACAAATACACACACATTTAACATTCGCCTGTACACACATATGCACATACCACTCATATGCA